GTAACTGTAACGGAATACAGTTACTCATATTTTGTATTTTAAATACGTAACGGCGGTACATGTATTCCGTTACTCCCCAACACTGTTGGTGGCATAAAACTGATCATTTTCTTCAAGTTTTCTTTAGATGTTGAAATGATTACAGCGTCGTCTGCATACCTCAGGTTATTAATGAGGCGCCACTGACCACAATTCCTGGCTTCATTCAATCTTGCACATAATGTACTCACTGTACAGAGAAAACAGGCCAGGTGACAGCACACACCCTTGCCGTACACCTCTTCTGATGTTGACAAATTCTCCAATTTCATTGTTGCTTCTGATTGCCGGACTTTGTTCCTGGTAAAACTTCTCCATAATTCTGAGGTCTTTTCCATCATCGTTCAAAGCGAATAATAACTTGATCAAATGTTTATGGCTTCACATAATCAAAACATAAGTACAGATCTTTTCGGACTTTAGTTGCTATTTCTGCAAGAGTTCTCAATATTTATATAGCGTTTGTTGTTCTTTTGCCATCGTTGCAACAAGCTTGTGAAATTTGTGGTATATTTTTAATGAGAATCGTTTAGGAATTGCAGCAACTCGGCTACAAAGCGACAGATCCTATTAAATTACAGAGCGGCGTTCACTGAGTGCGTAAACGTTACAAATGCTTTGCCATCTCCGTAACTGCTGACTTCAGGAGCTCCTCTGGCATTAACATCAGAACAGAAACTGAGTGCAGGGAGCTTCATGGCGTGACTTTCATGCTCCTATAGGTGGAGCAGCACTTCTGTCAATACAGTTTATTTCCTTAATCCCGTTGAATGCCAACAAGCAGGTACCCTCGGGAAAAACATGTCCAAAATAGTTATGCTGACAGTTTGTTTTAGATTTATGGATATTTTTCATCGATCAGATATTTATTGATTTGAACCACACATTTATTTTGCTGCTTCAGGCTACATTAGCAGCCACCAGTGGAAGGCACGCAAATCTCCAACTGAACTCATAGTGTCGATGCAAACTGTTTGATTGGCCCATCTTCTGAAAAATAGTACTGTGGTCCAAATGTGCTAACATGTAGCAATTTCACGTTTTCTGAAAGTTCCTACAACCTGTCCTCGACATCCGAATAATATCGCATCAGCATCTTAGTTTGAGATGGATGGACATTTAGAAATGGATGTTGGACGATGCATTTTAAACTTTGGGTATCACATTAACTGCTGGAGCCTTTGCATGTGGAGTTTCTCCAGCTACAGTTTCCTTTGCTTCCCTCCAGCTGCATGCAGGTTACTTTCGCTGCATGCAGCTCTGAATGTCAGAGCAGTGAACAGGGCAGGCAGCAGATTATCATCACAAAGCATGTATAACATTATTTAACACAGGTTAATTGAAGATTCTAAATCCGCCATACGCGTGGATGTAAGCCTGACTGTGCTGCTCAATAATGAGCCAGTGTTCGTTGCCCAGGAGGTACCCAACCCCTGGCCCATCATCTGGGAAAGGCTTTAACTCCCCTGCCACCTTAGTGGGATAAGCAGTTCAGAGAATGGATGCATGTTTACACTAAGCCAAGGGATTGTCCAGCAATCCTTTTTCCTTTTTGAAATGACTCCATTTGACCTCAGCTGAGCAGTGCTCACTGTTTATTGGAGTCCTGCCGTCAGGAGTATAACCTGACGTGTGGCCTGTCAGAGATATTGCTGTGATTAAACTTGTCATACTAAGTTTATATTCTGAAGTGGAGGCTGAGCGTGAAACAGTGACACAGTCAGAGCGTATTTTTTTTGATTAATGACCAGATTTAGTGGTTTAGTTCTCAAAAGACACTCTTCTTCTTTGTTTTGTTTTTTTGTCTTCCAAATATAAACAAACAGGTAGGTCAACACCGAGCCACTGCAGCTTTTGTAGACTAGGTACGCTCCCTCTTTAAATGACTCTTATTTCTATCATAATACCACAGCTTTATGGACAGAGGGGTTCAGTTTACTGGAAGACCACAAGTCTGAAATAATCTGCCCATGGAACAGAGAGAACCCTCTCTACATGCTACCGTGTTTGCCCACTTTACTGCCTATGTCTGCAGTTTATGAGGTGAAAGTCCAAAAATATGTCATCTGTATGGTTGTCTGTAAATGCGCAAACCACTCATTTGGTCTAAATTATAGTCTGTGGCCGATTCAAAACGGCACAGTGTTTCTCATAAAGCACAATGTTTGCATTTTAGGTGTTGCTTGTCCCTGCATTATGTTATATATGAAGGTGTCTGCAGTACACATGAAGCTGCCTCGTGTGACCGTACCACAGGGGAGCCTTTGTTTCCATTTACTGTAAATGAGCGCAGCTTTGCATACTGTAAGTCTCGCTTGCTTTGGGCCAGCGGGTAGTATACGGTTACCATTTATTATAGCATAATGAAAGTTTTATGTCCCACCTTCCCAGTTGCTTCTCTTCCCATTTTAATTCACTTTTCAAAATATGATCTCTCCTGTTCTCCTTAAGCCATCCTAGCTTTCTTTCTTGCTCCAAATCCGACTGTTTATCTGCTGCTCGTTCCCTGGCCTCACTAATCATTAGGTCTGCGTAAAGCGACTTCCCTGTCAATCACTGCCATAGTGGCAGTTTTGTTCCCGGGCGTCAGCCTCCACCCCCGACATCCCCACCTTCCCGTCAGAAGTCTTCAGTCTTAGGAACAGAGGACAAAGGGATGACGGATGGGTGAAGGTCCCTCACAGGGAAGTACAGTATAGAAGGTGCGTGCTGTAAATGGTGACAATGAGCACATTCAGGGAGACACAATACAGTGGCTCGGCCAGCAGCCTGTGAGAGTAGCCCAGCATCGGGCTAGCACAGTCCCCCCTACAGCAGTCAGCCGCACAGAGCCAGGGGTAATCACCAAGTCCTGAACAAAACTGCTATTGAATGCGACCAAATAAAACAAGAGAGGAAACACGAACCAGAGGAGGAAGAATGGGGAGACGTGGACAATCCAGCCGTGGTGCATGTGGAAGAGGTGACGTAAGCAAAAAAGAAACGTGAAGAGGGGAATAAAAAGATGGTGTGTGGCAGAGAAGGTTGAAAAGAGAAGCATAAAAAGAAATATGGAGAGCAATTAGAGCTGGAGACAATCATCTTTTTCCAGGCGGTGAATCCCAAC